AGGCGGGTGGTGGGTGGGTGGAGCCTCATCTGATAATGCTAGAAAGTTATTTAGTTTATTAGTATTCTGCCATTTTTAAAGACTTCACAAAACTAAAAAAAAGAACTAAGCTAAATCTAAAGAAGAACCTCTCAATAAAAAAATTAATAAACCCAACCAAGAAGAAAAATTGAAAAAAATCCTATCGAATATCACCAGGGACAAAAATTAATCTAAGTCAGGCATTTGCTAATAGATGTCAATATCCATAATTTCTTTGTATGATAAATGAAAAATACAGCTCCTAATGGCTCTTCTGAAACTTAGCTGGCAATAGGGTCTCCATAGAGAAGGCATTCCAAAGCATAGGGCAGGGATAAAAGAGGCCCATTTCCTAGGTTCTGTTAGAGGACATTTTTTGAAAAGACTAGGGTATTGAGTCTATTTTTAATCTGATTGGATGGCCAGGTGAAGAAGGGAAAATGTTGTCCTGTATATAACCAGGTCCAGGGCATAGAGGGTCTTAGAAATGACAAAAGCATATTGGATTGCATCTGGCAACCAAAACAATGGAGTGGGGAGGTGTTTGTCACCTGAATATAATGGAAAACAGCCATTGCCATCCTGAATGCCACAGTTAAGGATAGCACTCTGTAGAGTGCATTGCTGCAATTCAAACGAGAGGTACCTAGAACATTAATTACTTTGAACAAGGCTTCCAAGTGTAGCTGGAACAAGGCTTCCAAATGTAGTGGAAAAGCTCTCCTGCTATAGTTGCCATCTAGTTTTTAAACTGGAACCATACATTCAAGAGACTCCCATATTTGTAGATTATCTCTGAGCAGATGAGTATAACTATATTCAGAGTCAAAGAAGTATTGGACTTATTTTGCTTATAAACTCAAAGCCATTGTTTTGTTTCTATCTACCGCTAGCAGGCCTCTAGGTACTGGGTTAGCATGTCACCTGTTTGGCCGGGATCTGATACCAGCCATGCTCCCAGGAGAGAGTAAGGTGTTATCTATTAAGATTTTGTGGGCATCTAGAGACATTACTCCACACAAAATGATTTATCTGGTTATTGGTGGAGCAGGTCCCTTGATGTGGTTCACATACACCCAGAAGTTGCCTCTATATACTCAAATTTGTTGTTCCTACTCTGTGGTAATATTTTAGGAAAGTAGTTCCAGGTGATAGAAGGAAACATAATCTGGGTTCTTGAAAGAAGAATTCTAGTTGCATTGTGCTATTGGGGTAATTAAAAAGAAACCCTTGTTTGTGTGAGTCAGTGTCATTCAAATGAACATAAATATTTTAATCTCTCTTGCCATATCAGACATTGTGTATATTTTGAGGTAGCAATAGTGGAATTAAGATATAAATCTGGTTAAAGCTTCACAGTAAAGTGTTTTATACAACTGCATCTAGTAGAGCCAGTGGGGTAGAATAATAGAAGTTTTCGATAAATTAAGGTTTTACTTCAGCCACATAAACTCTCTTTGGAATAGGTTACTTCCCAGCCCAATTTACCTCATAGGGTAGTTTTTGTGGGCGGGAAATAGGAGGAAAAAAGTGAAGAATATGTTTCCCTTGAGGAAAAGATGAGAGAGATCTTTAAAAAGAAAACAATGTACTGGGAAGGTTGCTGAAACAGAGAAGCCTTCTTAGCAGGAATAGTCTTGCCACCTTTCCCTTCCCGTTTCCATTTGCTCAATAATAATAAAAACCAAAATATGCCTTTGGGAAATTCTGTCAAAAGCCATTGTAGCATGCTTTGCCTGCAGCAGTGTCATGAAAATGCTGTTAGGGTAGGGTTGCAGTAATGTCTCCTATGTCTTATGACCTGGTTGTGTCACTTGGGCAGGCTATTGCTAAGTATTTCTTCTCTGCCTGCTAGAATTTCCTACCCTAAATTCATGTCAAAATAAGATGAGTTTAGATTTTACGTATATAATGATTTCATGTGATACTTTGATTTAACCATGTTATGTTGTGATTGTACAGAGTTGTACAGCCTTACAGATGTCTTTTAGCAGGCATCAATGTTGAGGTGGCCTGAGCAAGCTGAGATTCTGGTGGGCCACAGTTCCCTGTGAGAGAGGCTTAACTTTAAGACTTGCAAACTGACTTGTTGTAAGCTTTCAATCCACCAAGAGATAGACAGACCTTAAACAGGTAGTCCTCAACTGATGAACACAATGGAGCCTAAAATTTCTGTTGCTAAGTGAGACAATTGTTAATTGAATTTTGCTCAATTTTATGACCTTTCTTGCCAAGTGAATCATTGCAGTTTTCAAGATAGTAACATGCTTGTTAACTGAATCTGGCTTCCTCATTGACTTTGCTTATCAGAAGATCACAAAAGTTGATCACATGACCCAGCATACTGTAGCTATCATGAATTAGTTGCCAAGTGGCTGAATTTGGATCACATGATCACAAGGACACTGCAACAGTCATAAGCGTAGAAAGGGGTCATACGTCACTTTTTCCAGTGCCATTGTAAGTTTGAACAGTCACTAAACGAAATATTGTAAGTTGAGGACTATGGTACCTGTATTCATGCAGAAATACTGAAAATTCAAAAGGATTCACAAACTTTTAACCATTACTGCCTAATGAAAAATAACTCCAGCCCATTGATATTACTATAAGTGAATATATGGTAGGATGGCAGCCTGAAAAAGTATAAACTATATCTAGAGCTGTTTATACATGAAGCTTTTTCTGCTTTGTGTTCGTGATGTGTTAATTTGTGAAATCTACATTGTTGCATCCAGTGATGTTCTTGATTTATATATATATTATTGATATTTATGCATCTGATGCATGATCATGAGTGATAGGATGTTAGCAGTGTGAAACACAAATGATAATCTCTAAATTGTTAGCTCTTTGTGAATAAAGAATTTTTATCTGGTTCTCAAAATGGATGTAGTTTTTTTGAATTCTTACGGCTGTCTGTTTCTCTTTTAATATTTAAGCTTTACAGTGTGTCTAAATCTGACTATAAGCTTATTGGTAGTCCTCAACTTACAAGCAATCGCTTAGTGACCATTCAGAGACACTTAAGAGCTCAATTCAAAGTTTCGACAGTTGCGTCCATCTCCCTCCCTAGTTGCATGATGACATTATGGCTCTTGGCAAGTGGCTCGCATTTATGGCCGTTTGTAGCATCCCATAGTCACATGACCACAATTTAAGACTTTCTTGCCGGAAACTGATGTTTACTTTTGGTTTCCAGGAAAATACATTCTTTGCGGGAAATGGATTCTCTTAACAACCATGGTATTTGCTTTATGATCGTGATGTTTGCTTAATGTCCGGGGCAAAAAAAAGGTAACATCAGTTACAGTCACATGGTGACTCACTTAACAACTAGCACAAGTTACAAACATAATTTCAGGTTTAAACATGGCTCTAAGTTGAGGATCATCTATATAGCACAAACTAAGTATTACACAAGTAACACAAAAATGATAGATGCCAACATAACTTACTACAGTTCCCATGTTTATTTTATATTGTGGTTTCTGGTGTTTTTTTTTCTTTGCTGTGGAATTGAGAAGTATTAACAGAAAACAGGAAGTTTTAATGTTGTAAGACAGGAGTTGACTACATACCTCAAGGCTAGAGGTTTGTGTGTACAGAGTTAATACAGAAAGAAGGAAATGCAAATCTTTGACAGTGTCTAACTGTCTAACTAATCCTGGTCTAACGATAAAACTATAACTGCTGTCACTAAGTGATGCAATCACACAATGTTTTCCCTAATGACCACTTCATTTAGTGATGGAATTTCCTGTTCTGATTAAGATAATTAAGCAAGGCCTACCTGTAAAAAGAAAGAACTGTTGCCAGTTTTTAAAAAAATAAATTTTATTGAAAGTTTTAAAGACAGTGTAAAAACTGACACAAACTAACTGACACAAACTAATAAAAAACACAAAAAGAACAAAAAAGAAAAGAAAAAATTCTATGATAAAGAATAGAAAGAAATAGAAACTTTCGATTTCTTCTGCAGCAAATATAAGTATTGCAACATTATCTTTTATTATGATTACAACAACCCTCTCTTTTTTCTATTCATTTTTTCTAACCATCAAAATCACACACCATAAGTGCATTTTTTCTTGTTTCATGCGGTAAGGAAGTTAATTTAGCTATCAAGGAAAGTTGTTGCATAAATGGTAGTTACTTTTTAGGTTTCTAAGAAAGAGCTGTTAATTATTGCAGCCAAAACTAATTGAATTTGAGATAGGTAAAGAGATGGAAAATGGTCTTTGCTTAATAGGGTCATCTATAATGTTGGATTCAAATAGGGTGCAGTTCACTTGACACTGCAGAAATGTCACACAGTTTGATGGTTTAAGGGAGCCAAATTGTTCATGCATGAGTGAGAGAGGTTGAAGTGTTCTGTCAGGTAATTTAGATAGTTTAATTGAAATTCATTTATGGAATTAAATTTTAAGATGCATAACAGTGACTTAATAGAGGAAAGTATTAGAGCATTAATGAATCTATTTCATAGTACCAGTAGGATTAATTGCTGAAAACTTTTTGGGAAGTTTATCTCTGCGGTAGAGTTTATGGTCCTGAAATTTTATCAATGACTATATTTACTAAATTGTTGCAGTTTAGAATACGGCATCAACACAGTTTTTAAATCTAAATAATTCGCTTGGTACTTCCATTCAGGCATTATGCTCTTAGGCTTCTGACTTCGAATTTGTGTTGTGGAAGTGCATATAGATGTGGGTTTCTTAGAAGCACTTTTGATTTTTCATAGGGTTTGCATTTGGAAAGTAGTTATAATTCAAAGGGATTTTTGTATTTATGGAATGACTTAATAATTGGCAAATAATATTAAAAGTAAGATTTTTCACTGTCTCATTGCTCATTACCGTAACATCTTACCACAAGGATATATTTTAGTAGGATTAAATGTTTCCCTTACGTTTGCTACTTAGAAAATAATTTCTGACATAGATCAAATTATAATATTTAATACTTGGCTTTAGTTTATCTTTGCAGCTATTGGAAAGTGATTGTTTTGAAGTAATGCCCACAGAAAGTGGAAGCTGTGCCACTGCTCGCCAAGCCAAGCAGAAAAGAAAATCTCACAGTCTTTCTATACGAAGAACCAACAGCTCTGAACAAGAGAGGTCAGGATTGCAGAGAGAGATGCTGGAAGGCCAGGTAAACTGGATGGAAAGAGGGAGCTTGATTTCACTGCTATCTGATCAAAACAGATTAACATCCTGATAAAATCACTTAATTCCCCAAATTTGTATTCTCTACAAGGTCCTAAAACAAACCTAAAATCCAATGTCAAAACAAAGTTGAAATTTCCTGTTCAAATGTAGGGAAAATACTTCTGATACTTGGATATACCTCTGGGTTTCTTCACTTACTATTATGACAATGTCTAAGAGTCTTTGAGTGTACAGGTAGTCCTCGACTTCTGGCCACAATTGAGCCCAAAATTTTGTTGCTAAGTGAGACATTTGTTAAGTGAATTTTGCCCTATTTTAGGATTTTTCTTTTCCCCCATTGTTAAGTGAATCACTGCAGTTGTTAAATTAGTCAGATGGTTGGTAAGTGAATCTGGCTTCCCCATTTGACATTGCTTGTCAAAAGTTCGCAAAAAGGAGTCACATCACCTCAGGACATTGCAATAATCATAAATATGGGTCTGATCGCAAGCGGTTAATTTTGATCATGTGACCATGGGGATGCTGCAACAACCATAAATGTGAAAAACATTACAAGTCCTTTTTTTCAGTGCTTTTATAACTTCAAACAGTCACTAAATGAACAATTGTACGTTGAGGATTACCTGTATGTACTGTATTTTTCGGTATATAAGACGCACTTTCCCCCCCGCAAAAAAGTGGGTGGAAATGTCTGTGCGGCTTATACAGTGAATGTTGCTGAAGTCACACCGACCTGCCGGCCCCCACCCCCCGGCCTCTGCCTCTCAGCAATTTGCCTTCTTTCAGCAAACAGCAAACAGCCTGGTCAGCTTCAGCACAGCCTGATTTAGCACGAGCAGCTAATTGGCGGTTGGATCTGCCTCCCGGAATACCACCTATTAGCTGTTCCAGACTATGGGGATCACCACCGTCTACCGTTGCCTCCCATTGCTGCTGTCGCCTATCCACACACCCCATTTTTGGCTTCCACGTGCTCCATCTTTGGCCCGTTCCAGGGGGCAGGGATAGGTGGTGGCGATCCCTGCAGCCTGGAACAGCTGATAGGTGGTATTCTGGGAAGCAGATCCAACCGCCAATCAGCTGCTTGTGCTAAATCAGGCTGTGCTGAAGCTGAGCAGGCTGTTTGCTGTTTGCTGCAAGGAGGCAAATTGCTGGGAGACGGGCAGATTTTTTTTTCTTGTTTTCCTCCCCAAAAGCTAGGTGCGTCTTATAGTCTGGAGCGTTTTATAATCCGAAAAATACCGTAATTCATTTTCTGGCTGTAGTATGAATTCAGTCTGTAGCAGATAGATAACATATCCCGAAGTCAGATTCAGTTCAGTTCTGTAGATGTGAGCCGCTTAGTTTTGGGAGATGGCTTGAGTTCTATTATCTCAGTCTTTTATTTGTTGCCTTTTAATGTATATGATGCTTCAGCATACATAGCATTTTCCTGCAAGTTTGCTTTAAGGAAGTTTATTTGAAAATTTTTATTTCAAACATTTTAAAAATTAAGTCATTATCTTTCACAGTTTTGAATTGACAGCAAATGTGCAACCAAACTCTGTAAAATCTTGTCTTTGCTGTAGGATTGAATTAAGAGATACCGATTTGCTCATCTTGTTGTATCTGGTATGCTAAGGATTATTATGAGCCTTGGTGGCGCAGTGGTTAGGGTGCAGTACTGCAGGCTACTTCTGCTGCCTGCCAGCTGCCTGCAATTTGGCAGTTCGAATCTCACCAGGCTCAAGGTTGACTCAGCCTTCCATCCTTCCGAGGTGGGTAAAATGAGGACCCAAATTGTTGGGGGCAATATGCTGACTCGCTTAGAGATAGCTGTAAAACACTGTAAAGTGGTATACAAGTCTAAGTGCTATTGCTATTGCTATTGAACTGAAAGAGAAATAGTATTGAGGCCCTTCCAAGGGTAAATCGTTTTTAGACTGCCTTTGTGCACCATTATTGATTTAAAATTTCAAAGTTTTAAAAGAAGTAAACTATCAGATGTGAACAACCAGACCCTTACATGTAGAGTTCAACTAGCAACTTTATTGTTCTATGCCTATTTGACAGGAATCTCCTGAGACTGGCAGCTTTCACCTGAGAAAGACTAGAGAAGGCTCAAAGACATTCAAAGCTGGGAGGTCAGAACTTGCCCTCTTGTGCTTATGTAACAGCCAGACTAATTTCTCACTTGAGCCCTTCTCCCAAGTGGGATGTTGCTCACCAACAGTAACTTAACCATTATGTGATATTAAAGACAGAACCTACTGTTGTAAACATGAGATTTGCCACTTTTAAGTCATATGGATTGTTCTCTTTTGTCTGAAATGGAGATATTTCATCATGGTATATAAAATCTATTTCTGCTCCTTTGTATATTTACTGAAATCTTTTGTGTGTGTGTGTATGTCCCCTTAATAAGGCTTTGTTTTATTCACGTAATTGCCCTTTCTTCAAGCATAACTATACAGGTCCATTATGTGGAAAAAGTATGGTTTGAGAAAAAGTGGATAGAAGGATGGTTTGAAATCTCTGGTTTGGGATAATGGAAATAGGAGCTTTGCATAAAGGGTCAGTTACACAAAAAGAACAAACTCCTGGAAAATTCTGCCTTAAGTGTGATATTTTTGTTTTCTCTAGGATTCAAAGCTACCATCATCCATTAGAAATACACTTCTGGAACTTTTTGGTCAAATAGAAAGAGAATTTGAGAACCTCTACATTGAGAATATTGAATGTGAGTTTATGTTTGTTCAATTTTGGGGGAAAATGTTAAATAGGAATAAGATACTAATGAAAGATGCTAGATGCAAGACTGTAATTCTGGATCTCCATTCCCAATCAATCTCATGTGAACTCTGAATGGTTAGTTAAAATGTCCAGATTATCTGAAATAAAAGCCTACATGCTTATTTGAGATCTCTAATACTAATGCTGATTAATCCCAGGATAGATAGTTTGGTGCACATTAGCTCATTTAGCCTAAAATTCCCAAAATCCTGTTATTTTGAGTATATTGAGTATTTTAGTTGTAATTGATGTCCGTAACCTAATATTTAATTGCATATACATTTGATTCTTCTTATTTCAAAGTTTACTGGAATAATCATTCAGATATGTCAACTTTTATGTTTGCACTGTAATGCTAATTCATTTTTAAAAAATCTACACTTTTTGGATTCCAATGAGCAATGATTATGAGTCGCTGCTTTAAATAGTAACTATATTTTGCTTTTGTAACAAGTACAGTTACAAGATAGCATAGAAAAGGTAAAAAGAGATGAGGAATACTTTATTTCTCAAATAAGTCATCTATGAAAGTTATTCTCATTTTGCCTTCAGGAATGTATGGAAAAGAGAAAATTCTACTCTGTATTATCTTATGAATTGCCTCCTACGACTATTGACCATTGGTAGTATGTTTGGAGGGGAAGCTTGTTTCCATGTTTTAACTTTCTCAGGAACCCTGTGTGATTTGATTTCCAGCCTCGGGGAAGACCCTGTCAATATTCATCCAGACATTGATTTCTCCCTTCCCGTATTCTGTTGGCTTGGGAGTGAAGATCAGAGACCAAAGCTCTTGGGGGCCAGTGTGTATAGCCTATTTCCCCTTCCCTTGATCTTAGAATGCCTGGGGGATCATACTATTTTGTGTGTGTGTGTGTGTGTGTGTGTGTGTGTGTGTGTGTGTGAAGTAAATAGGGACTGAAAATATATCTACTGTACAAACACCCTGGTACATTTGTAAATCCTCTAGTTGAGGAGCTACAGAGGCTCTTATTCATTACTTGTGTTCATTAATATAACTTTCTGTTTGCAGATATCCAGACTGGATGCTGGATATGTTGTGTTTATTGTTTCCAGTTTGGAGAGGAATTACATACAGAAACAAGTTATTTGGCAAGCAGTGGCTTCCTGAATCCGGAAGGGAGATACCAAACTTTTCCTTCCTCAATTTTCATTTAGTTTTACTGAGGGATATTTTGCATCAACATGAATCTCTTAGAAGCAGTATTTTTAGAATTAAGATCCATTGTCAGAATTTTATCCTAGATTTGAAGAGTTAATTACTTTCATATTATGTATTTTTTATAATTATGGCACACAAAGAAACACAAAAGATTATGAAATTATGATCCTGCACATAATGGCCTTTGAGATAAGGGTTATGTGGTAATTTAAAAATTGTGATTAATGATTTTTCTTTGCATTGACATTAATTTTTGTGCTACTGATAGTACGCAGAGAGATTGATACACTTAATGAACGCTTAGCAGCTGAAGGCCAAGCCATTGATGGAGCAGAATTGAGCAAGGGGCAGCTGAAAACAAAAGGTAAGAAGAGAGTTGAGAAAAATACTCCTCTCTTAGTTGGTTTTTCATAATTTAGGATGACAACCAGTTAGAAGGATGTTAACAATCAAGTAAGGTAATCCAATGATTTTCAAAACAAACTTCCTTTAAATGTATTTGTTTCAACAGCCAGCCATAGTACCAGTCAGCTGTCTCAGAAATTAAAGACTACTTACAAGGCATCAACTAGCAAGGTATGAAACATATCAAGCTTTTTATTGAACTACAGTATACTTACCAGTTTAGTTTTATTTACTTTTGTCTTCATGAGGTTGAACTTTTGAAGTTGATGTCATCCTGATGTAGTCCCATCTCATATTGCAGAGAGGTTTTGGGAGACTGTGATCAACATTAACCATGGAGTTGCCATTTGGTCTTGTCCTTTAGTTATAATTCAGTAAATAAATGATTAAGAAAATAGAGTGACAAAATGAATTTATAATAAAACGTCAAAAGCTTTTTTATAAGATACAAAGAAAACATAGTTATTATCTTTATTGTGAGAAATTCTTTAATAGTTAATTATAACACAGGACACTTCAATTGTTAAATCCATTTTGCTCCTTAGTTCATAGTCATTTTAATTTGTCCTTTTCCAAAAAATGGGTTGCATCTGATTGTAACTGTCATTAATTTGCTTGATACTTAGAATTATCAAGCATGTATCAGCTGTAAAATGTTTACTAAATTACTTAACTACCTGCAAGTAATTTACATTTATGCAGGAGAGAAGGTTATGTAGTAGTATTCTCTTTCATACTTGGAAATTATCCAAACTGTATAAACAAATCCAAAGTTCTATCCGCTATGTATATTAGGATACAGTTTTTTCAAATTCCTAGAATTTTCTAAGAATTTGGGAGATGTGCTTCCAAATACATCTGGAAAATTCCATATTGGGAAAATACAGTAAGGGGAAAATATTTGGGGTATTTTGAACAATTTTTCAATGATAAGTATCATTAAATTTTCTGTTTTCATTAGATCAAATAAACAGCTATGTATTTTTTTTTGTTATTATGCTGTCAGATTCAACATAAATTACTACTGGCAACTTTACAATATAAAAGCAGAGTAAAACATATAAAAGTTAATATACAAAATTTAAACACACATTTCCTGCAAATAATTTTTTTTTTTACAAAAATTGAAATTGTTTTTATCTGACAATCAGTTGTGCACACATTGGTTATTTTTAATAGAAAACATCTTTATCTTTTGTCTTTCTGCAGTATTACTGTCATTATGCACTTAAAGGTGGAAATGCATTTTTCTATATTAATGTTTTCTTTATTAAAAAGTAGAGTCTTCAGTTTCTAGATCATATATATGTATGTATATTGTTTATTGTAAATTTGCTGTTCTTTGAAAGCAAGTGCTGAATGCCTATCTTTTCTTACTTGCTATGTAGCGCTCAAATTCTTTCCCAGGGAGATCAGGTGGACCTCGCAAATTCCACGTGGGAAGCTGGGAAATATGGGGTGGCGATTCCTGGGTAACTGCTTTGCTTCCCAGTGTGCCAATTTGCATGCCCAGCTAAACAGTAGTGAGTGGTGGAACATACAGAATCTCATTTCAACCAGTTTTTCTTCATGGATATTATATTTATCAATTGGTGCTTTACCTAGAAGGCTTTCTACTGCTCATGTTTTAGTATTACTTATAGATATCAATTGTTAACAGATTGTTTCCTGTTTCCTGTTTTTATTGTTATCAATCTCTGAGGTTGGGTAGGCTACAGTTTTTATTACGACAGACATAGTCTATGCTTTGGCACAGTATTTGCACATTACGTCTGCCTTTTTTTGTTACTATAATCTCAGTTCAGTTTTGATTTTAAAAGTACTTTGTTAAAAACACTTGATTTAAAAAAACATCAGTGAATAATGAAAACATAAATAAAATGATAACCCTTCCTAAAACTGCACGCAGGCAGAATAGCAGTACTATCAAAAGACAAAAATATGACTTAACCAGAAGCTACGGTAAATAGGAATGTCTTGAGCAGATTCCCAAATCTTGGAAGACCCAGTACATGTTAAAATTGAGCAGGGAGTTCAATAAATAAACATATTTATTTTAAATATATACATTATATATCTTGCTATCTAAGTGCTTAAATTATCTTAGGTAAAGATAATGCAGTGTCTGTAGATATCATAGTCCTTTGGTGAAGAAATGTTCACATTTGTTTGCCGCCAATGGCCTGATCTGTATTACAAGCTTTGATGGTGGCAAAGAGTTTCCATTATGAACTTTGTGGCTTCTCTCTAAGTCTATTTCTTTAACAAGTTATAATATAAATCTATAAATTGTCTGAACTGTTCATAAAAGAGAATGAGCTTCCTTTAAGGTTTCAGAAATAGGAATATTTCAACAATCTTTTGCTGTAATATGGTGAAAATGTTTAAAATAATGCTTTGTAGTAATAGTAGCATTTATTGATTACTGAAAAATTAATAATAATAAAACCATCCACATTAACCAAATTCACAAACTATAAGAATAAAATGTGTGGGCTGGGAATCTAAGAATTGCATAACTAATTCTAGGTGCTTTGTGAGGTTTTCAGGAACAATAATTCCTTCCCTGGAACACAGCATGGCAAACTGTCTTTAAAACTGATTGGCATCTGTAAAGGTTGGTTAAATGTAATTTCTCAACACACTATTTTCTGTGATCTTCAAATCTTGCTTCTGAATCCCAGAGGTGAATATCTCATAAATATGCATATTTCTTTAAACTAAAAAAATGAAATGAGAAATATGTTTGAAAATTAACAAGAAAACCTGAGAACATCGGCTTTAACCATGCTGAGTTATGCTCTTGGGGATTTCACTATCTCAAAATAAATAATGATAATGAAAAAGTCCAACCTTCAGTTACCAAGAGGTTGCCTGCTCTTCTTCTTGCAAGTTCCTTGAATGAGATTTTTGACATTTTGGGACTGTAAATTTGTCTTCCTTTAAGCACCGTGTCTTATGGTTGTGATCAAAATACACATGAATCTTTAAATGAAAGCCCAAGTAATTGTTACAGGCATCTACAGTACAAATTCCTCTTGCATTAACTTGCCAGACTGAAATGGTGAGCAGGATGATTATTATAAGAAAGTATGGTGAATTTGAATTTGAAAACTTAGAGCATTTGAAGAGGGAACTTTCTCATTTGCTAGCCAGGAAACAGACTAGTTTTGTCTTCTGCTGTGCACAGTAGCATATGTACTGCTCTTAGAATATGTTTACTTTGTTGAGGTTAGTCAACAGAATGTGTAACTGGTTGAACAACATTTCCTTGACCTTACTGTCACATGATTAGGCTTCCTTAGGAACACTTATATTTATAAGTCACATTTTTCAAAGGAGAAACATACCCATTTTGTAGTGTAAAATGAGGCATTTCTAAACTCTTGTCTATATATATATATATAAGCTAAGAATTGAAATGGAAATTTTAATAGTAGTATTTAGTGTGCATATTAGCATGATTCCCTGGCTCTGCTTGCTGAACATAACTTGGTGAACATTGCACTGGGAGAGTGGCTGGCTCCTTTATTCACATTTTGAAGTAGAGCAGAAAGTTTTGATGTCCCGTTGCTGTTTGTGATATATGAAAGGACACTTCCATTATTGTTTTAAAAGTAAAAGGAAACTAAAAATATGAAATGGCATTAAAGATTGTATTTTAAGGGAAGAGGAGAAAACACTGTAGCCCCTGAAAATTAAACCAGTCAATTACACAAGATTTTCTGAGGAAACTAAAAACAGTTTGGTAATTCATTTTATTCCTCACTATGTCTTATTAAAACTGATAAGGTATGTGAGAACTGTTGTGATAATATATTCTACTGTTCCACTACTCTTACATAACTCCATTTTGTTTGAAGATGTGTATTAAATTTCAATTGAATTTTAATACTGCCTTGACAGTTTTATGCTTAATGCTACACTATGGTTCAAATACTAATCCCTTCCTAGTTCTGCAAGAATTAACCTGTTCCTTTTGCAGTGCATCTGTAGTAATTATTGCTTATACTGGCTTGGAAACAATTCTTCTCATTAACAACTAAATTATAGTTCCATCTAGGTCTCATTTCATCACTGTAAAGATAAATAAAGAGGTAAAAGCTGAAAATTATATTGTTGCAGCTTTTTCTAGTCCTTAATTTTTTTTCCTCCTGAAATTTTAATTGAACATATATATAAGATGCCTTATTTTTATTTTTAATCACTGTACATTCCTGAGAATATTTTCAATAACAAAATTTGATAGATGTTTTGCTCTGTTTGATGATCAGATAATACCTTTTAAAATTTAATTATTAATTTAATCTCATTTTGGTTTAATGAGGCTTTTATTTTTTTTAAAAAAAACTATGTAGTTGATTCTCATTTCTAGGTTGATTTTAGAATTTTTACATCTTTTAAAAATAAAAATCGCCTACAGTATATACCTAGTCATTTACTGTGGCAAAGGTATCCAATTGTAATCTTTCACTGCTATTGAAATACTCTTGGAATTCTATATTTCACAATTACATGAATATTTTGTCATATTAGACAGCTGCATACCTCAGTTTACCATGACGTCTGCTAGATCCAGCTTAGTGATATTTAACATAGAGCCATTAAAATCAGTACAACAAAAATGAGTTATGACCCAATGGTTTTTATATTATTCCCTTACTCCAGTGCTTGGCAAAAGGCCTCAGGAAGTTTTGCTTATATTTCAGACTATAGACTTGGATTTCATGCTCAGATGGCATGAAGCTAGTATGAAAGTTTGACAATAGTCTTGAGAAGGCAGCATAGTTTAGTGTTGAAGAAATCAATTGGATCCCTCCTCTCCCCCCTCCTTATTTTTATATTAACTGTAACATTGTATGGTAACAAAATTTGTCATAAATTCTGAGTGAATAGAAATACATTCATCTTCCAGAACTTTGAATGGATATGCCAAGATAAGAAACAATGGGGATAGTGATAAATTCAGCGCACATGTTGTGGCATGGATTTTCAAAGGGTGCACTATTTCATATTTCATAAGTAACACAGCTTTTTGCAGTCCTGGAACAGCAATCTATGCTCCCTGTCCCTGTCCAGCAATTCTTCACTGATTACCCTCATCTAACCATTCTTCCCAACTATAGCATAAGCAACAATTTCCACAGTGATTTCCTGATGCCTACAAAATAGGTCCAAATAGATGGTATTGTTTTATATAGAGAGAGTACTACTGATAGTACAGTTCTGGGTTGCAGCTGATCCAGAATTTGGTCCAGCAGCTTGAATAAATGCAGTTGAGATGCTGCAGATTTTAGCATAAATCATATATGCTATAAATCATAAATGACATAGCAAAGTTCTTATATGATTTCTGTCCAAACACTAAATGATGAAGATGTACATGTGATATAAAGGTTAGCTCTAGTCCCAATCTGCTTATCTGGACTGGAGAACATTACACATCAGGGTCAAAAAGAAGAAAACATTTTGTATGGAATAAAACTGATGGTGTTGCTTGTTAACATGCAGAGACAAAGGCAGCCATTGAAAGACCAAGGGTAGAACTAGTTTTCTCCACTCTGTTGTGGATGGAAAAAGATTTTGACCACTTTGCACCTTTTTCTGATAAGGGAAGTTGAGTGGCTGAAATGAGAAACTCTTTCACGTCCTCCAGAGGTGGTCATACCTGATGTAGGGTGTCCTGAGTCTCTTGTTCTTTCTCAAACCATTTTGGCAGTTGCTCCTGGTAGGGCAGAGTAGGACTCTTGAGAACAGTGAGGAACCTGAGGGTGAGACCTTGCTTGAGGCCCTACTGACTGGGGTTCTTCATTCCTGCTTATTATGCTACTGCATCACTCATGGAATACCTTTTCTACCCATTAAAGACAATGCAATTATTGCACAAATATACTTCGGATGGCCACATTAGTATAGCTCATATTAGCTTAGTTTTCTCCAGCCAGCAAGTATTACTGATTTACTTCTTCCAGTCCAGTGACCCAGCACTTACCTAATCCAGTAAACTGATAGTCCTGTACTGCTTATCCTTGCACACAGGCTGTGTCACTTAAGAGTGTGAATCGCTGCTTGCTTGTCCATGCTGATTTTAAAAAAAATATAGCAGTTCCAACTTGAGAGTGTTTTCTTCTATCCACCCGATACATTTATTTATCTAAAGATAATAAAATAAGTCATTCTTGCTTTCATGTTTCTCTTATTATTTTAAAATTTTGATCATATTATTTCTGTACTGCTTCTTGAAAAGAACATTTCATTGTCATACAAAAGGAATTGGTCTGAACTTCCAAGTTAATATGAATACCACTTCATATGGCTCTGAGCTTTGTATTTTTATGCATCTTTTTCATTCTTCCTTCCTAACCCCTTTGAGCTAGCTCTGTTTAATAAGTTGGCTTGTATGGTGCATACAACGTATTATAGAAGAAAAAGAGAAGTGCTCTGCAGATTATACCCATTTGTATTATCATAAGATATGAAAAAATATCGGAAAAGTTGTATGCTTTTATGATATCCTAAAAAGATTCAATTTGGCCAAATTCGTCTGTTGTACTTACATAGAACGGCATCCTAGCTTCATTCAGGACAAATTTGGTCCCAGAGAATATGCTAAAGCTTATGCATCCGTTGATTTGGCTACAGTGCAGTGCTTCAATGGTTCTTACGTTGTGTGTTGCAAGAGTTTGGGGGTAATTTCTCTACCTATCAGATACCTGCCTTTTGTCTCCTTAGATAGTCTCCAGTTTCAAAACAACGACATCCAGAGCAATATGTCAGCTAGTGAAAGAGTATATTGGTCATCGAGATGGCATTTGGGATGTCAGTGTCACAAAAACTCAACCTGTGGTGCTTGGGACAGCATCAGCTGGTAATAATCTTATCTATTGTTTTAGCCACAGATTGTGTTTTGCGTTTCTGATGATTAGATTAGAACAGATTATGGTCTAGGTTTCATTCCCAGATTATCTATCTATCTATCTATCTATCTATCTATCTATCTATCTATCTATCTATCTATCTATCTATCTGTCTGTCTATCTATCATCTGCCCACATCCATCCATTCATCTGTCCATCCATCATTTTAATTCCTCAATTCTTTTTTAAAATTCTCACAGATCATACTGCTTTGCTGTGGAGCATAGAGACAGGAAAGTGTCTTGTCAAATATGTTGGACATGCTGGATCAGGTAAATTGGTGAATAAGAATCATAAGGGAAAATTATCTGTTATAATGGCATATGTATTGAGTAAGTGAAGTTGACTCTTCCCGGAATTTATGTGCAGTAGGAGTTTGGGTGGAGAATTTAAGAACCTCTTTGTGGGAGCCTGCAGGACCTTATCCATTCTTTGCGCCCTTTGGGTGTCCCATTTCAGTAAGCATGAAAAATGAGTAGTTTGCTATCTTTTGGATGTGAGAGTTATTAAGAAGATAAGATCTGTCTTTAAAAAAATCATCATCACATTACAAAGCTAGATAGTAGAATTCTGTCATGTATCATTTCAGACAGAAGGGCGAATACCAATTTTTAAAATATTCATGTGAAAATCTTATTGTTCCAAACAGAAGGACAAATAATTGTTCCAAATAGAAGGACAAATAATAGTTTTAAAAATATATGTAAAAAGCTTGGGGATAGAGATCAAGTACAATGATGATTCTCTAATGTACTCAATCCCATAGCAAGTTCTTGTCCGATGTTCTTATGCATGGAATCATTCCCCCAGGAACCTTAGCTCTTCACGGATCGGGTAAACTATTCCTTCTGTTGAGAGATTTTATTCAGTGGTGCCATATGAAGTCGTTTTTTCTCTCAGTTATTATGTTTCTATTTTGATACTAGAAATTCCCTTTTCCAAAAATAGCTTTATTCTTGATTTTCTTTAAACCTAGCTTTTCCTGTATAATAGGATAAGTAGAGAGATGAAGTTCAAACTGGAAAATTAGATATTCTTCTAAATTTGTTCTTCTAACATATGTTTGTTTTTTTCTTTGATGCAGTAAATTCCATAAAGTTTCATCCATCAGAACAGGTGTCTCTTACAGGTATGTAAATGGTGTTTATCCTGCCAAATTATGTTCACTCGATACTTGAGAAAAAAATATACCTCCTAATTTATTTCAGATTAAGTGGGAATAGGTTTATAGTGCACCTGGGATTTTGATATTGTGGAAAATCCATTCAAGATTCTTTCAGTGAACGAGAGAAGTTCTTTCTTTCTACTCAGTATTTATATTTCTAGATTGGAAAAGCCTGCAGGACAGCTTTAAAGACTAGGCTGTGTATACATTGTAATAATTTAAGAGGGCTTATATATTAGAAAAGAAAGCAAATTAGGAAAGAGGAAAGATCACTTATACATATTGCTTGTTTCCACTCCCCTCTTGCTTTGAAGAATTAAAATCAAAATAGCTGTTCATAGAGTGTTAATTTTGTTCTACAGCTTCAGGAGATCAGACAGCTCATATTTGGAGATATATGGTGCAGTTGCCTACCCCTCAACCTACCACAGACTGCAATGTAAGTTATGATTTCTAGTATGACTTTTGGAGTTCTTAAAATAGTGTTTATCTCTGCAGATGGAAATTAGTATTGGAGAAAATGAAGCAACCCCCCCCCCCATTTCATTCATATCAGGGGTGTCAAACTCATGGTCCACAGGTTGGATGCGTCATGCACTGGTCACGCCCACCCCTGGTTTAGTGAAGGGGAAAAAAGGTCATGATATGTTACATGACGACAACATGATGCCACGAGTTTGACACCCCTGATTTATATCATTGGTGTGCTGTTGAATGCCTTATTTAACAGTGGTTTGGCAACATATGGGCCATAAAGTTCTGAAATCATGACTAACTTAGCGACAATGGAAACTAACTAATATGTGACACTTCATAAAATTATGAAATCACACTTTTAGTATTTACAGCAATTATATTGTTTCTTGGGAGAGCTGGCCCCATCAATTTCCTCGAAACACTGCTAGTTTTGCCAATTGCCATTCAAATGTTGAACATGGCTATAGGGTGGCTTGTTGAATAATCAATCAAAGATTTATAAATGCTTTAAAGGAAATCTCCTTGGGATTATTTAGAAAAATAGTATTTTTATCCTATACTTCAGATGTCCCAAAGAACCAAAACAATTTAGAATCTGAAGAATAGCATCCCGATAGCAAATAATAGGTATATGAAATAGCATTTTGTTTGCAAAATTCATCCAATAATAAACATTCCTTTCTGTGTTTTCTGTTCCCCAAGTATTTATACACACTATTCTCTATTAAATTTATATCTCTTTAGAGTCTTCAACAGTTTCTCTTTCTGTGTCTCATATTATCTGAGGCACTTTAAGCTTTTCTTTTTCTCTTTAGAGATCTTTTTGTTTTCCAGAGATATTTTTGATGTTAAGAATTAATTGGACCAACCCATTTAATGTGGCAAATTTCATGCAAATTAAATATTTTCAAAATTAACAGCAAATGTCCGGTGAAGATGAAGTTGAGTTCTCTGATAAAGATGAACCTGATGGAGATGGAGATGGCTCAAGTGATTGTCCCACCATCCGAGTTCCTTTGACTTCCCTAAAAAGCCATCAGGGTGTTGTCATAGCAGCTGATTGGCTGGTTGGAGGGAAGCAAGCAGTGACCGCTTCATGGGACAGGACAGCCAACTTGTATGATGTAGAGACATCTGAACTTGTGCACTCTCTGACAGGTATCTTCTTGGGAGGGGGAGTTTTATCTCCATCTCCCCCCCCACACACTCATTATTGTCTGGTTGTTGGGCGTCTACTTTTTTGTAATGCAAACTTTTCTTTGAGAGCAAGGAAGATTAAATCCCACAATTTATGACAGTTGTGAACTTCCAAGATGTTACTGTATATGTCATTTTGCCACTTCTTTGAAGTCAGTCATTCTTCTTATCTTGGATACTTGGGAAACCATATAATCTAAACAAGAAAACTTCAAAGAGAAAAATACTACATTTTCAAGGCTTTACATATTTATTAGGTATTTCTTTTCTTCAACTTTTAATAACTTCTCTTGTACAGTCTCAGCAGGTGGTAGCATTGGGCTGCCTTCTGTTGCAGGTAGAAAGCTAAGCAGGGTCAGATCTGGTTGTCACTTGTATGGACCACCACCAGGAAACTCTAAGAATATATACTCTTGGGGTGTGTGTGTGTGTGTGTGTGTGTGTATCTATGTATTATACGAGGGTACATGAAATAGCAATGGTAATTTCACTGTTTTATTTACATGTATTGTAAATTTATTTAAATTTTTGAATGGATTTTTCTTACAAAGCAGGAATAAAAATTGCCATTAATTTTGTGTAGTATTATTATTTCCAATCCTTATAGTTATATAGTTATCCCTCTATAGTTGCTATGTAATCTTAATGCATTCTGGCTTTATCATTACAGGGAGCAATCTAATTTTTCTCTTCACTAGATGTAAAAGTGCAAAAATAGCTGCCTGATTAAAAAAAGATTCTGGGTAATTGTTCTTGCTAAAATTTGGCTCAGCAAAAGAATACTTCAGCTCACTTTATACTTTGTTTTAGGATCAATGAAGTAAAGTACAGTTGATGCCAACATTTTTGTTTGTAGAGAAGTTGGAGGTTTTTGATTCGTGCGCTAAATCAAGCAATTTAAAAAATGTTTTTAGCTAGTTTTAGCAATATTTATCTTAGCAATTGGTTTTCTGAGGAGTGGTGATGGGATGGAGTTGTTAGGGTTGCTTTTGCTCCTTGAAGTGTAGAGTTATCTAGGTAGTTTTCTTGTTCAGGTTATATGGTTTCCCAAGTATTCTTCTACTGTAGGTAGCTTTCCTAAACCAGGGATGGAAAAAATGATGTGCCTCAATTACAATTCCCAGCATCTTTTACTATTAACTGTGCTTCCCCAGTTGCTGGAAGTTCAGCTCTATCATCTAGAACAGAGATTGGTAACCTTTCCGTCTACCAATTACACTTAATGTTGAGGTATGTGCTAGATAAGGTATTAATGGAACTTGCAGAACAGATTTTTTTTCATTTCAGAGTGGGAAGTGTAATTTCTTTTTGGAAAAAAAGTAAATTAACCTTTTCTCGAACCAAATATTCCTGCTTTTCAGCACCCTGCCTCAAACCTACAGAGACTGTACTACCAATTTTTATGCCATAAAAATGAGTTTGCATAATTGGAAAAATCCAGAAACTGGGAGAAAAAAGTATATATGCACATTAAGATGGCTTCATAGCTTCATAGCCATAGCTCTAATCCTAAATCCTTGTTTTTAGGCCTTGACATGATAGATAGAGCTAGTGTGTTTCTGCTGGTGACAAGTTTATCATTTTATTGGTAGATCATATGATTGCAACTGGAGATCCTGAAAGAAAAATGGATTAACGATATACAGACATTGCAACATTATGCTTCTTTAATCCTAAAATAAAACAAGGACTAATTGCTGTTTTTTATAGTAGATGAGCTATAAGTTATATAGTTATATGTCACTATAACTATAACTTTATAAACAGTAGTTTTAGCAGCCCCAAATTAAACTGTATAGAACTGGAAACTTGTTTAATATTAGTGTCTGAAAAATTCTTGTAATAGAAGCAAATTTGGTAGCTGATCTAATACTCAAAAATGCTTTTGTGATTGTCACAGATATCTAATCTATAGATAGCAGGCTGCATTATGTGTTTCTGAAAGCATGCAAGAAACAATTTTCATATATTACTCAAAATTTGTTTTACAGAATATCCATCATGTCCATAAGTCATGTCAGTACAAGAGTGACAAAAGTTTGTTCCCTTACATTTTTAAAATGTCTGTATTTAGATGAAATGTGGAATTGAATCCACATTATTCCAATAGGGAACAAGTAAGATTGGGCAAACTTGTTTTGCCAAGACCATTTTGGTAACCATTGGAAAATAATTATTTCTCTGATGTTTTTCATCCCCAATTTTTGTAAGCAGGTCCAGGTTTTTCAAAGTTCATAATGTTTTGATTTCTGGTTTTAGGACATGATCAAGAACTTACACATTGTTGCACTCACCCCACCCAGCGCCTTGTGGTAACTTCATCGCGTGACACAACTTTCCGTCTATGGGATTTTAGAGATCCTTCCATTCACTCTGTGAACGTCTTTCAAGGCCATACAGAGTAAGTGACATCTTTGTCCTATATATATATATATTTAAACGTGGGAATTGTACTCGGCTACTGATATGGGAAAAGTTTTCTATCTGAATTTTTCATGCTAAATGTAATTAGTCTAAGTCTTCTTTTTCCTGTTTTGTGGCTTAATTAAAGCTTTAATAAATGCTGAGGAGAAATAAATTGTATCCAATTCAGTCATGAAAGGTTGCATACATTTTCAGGCATTTCCTCTTAAAATATCATGTCTGTGTATAGATCAATAAAACAGAGAGAAATGGGGATGGAATTAAATAAGCAGGAATCCGGATTAAATGTTGCTTTTTGTTTTATCATGGAATATGCCGCTTATAACTTTTCAATATTTTTTTCTGCATGTGGAGCTCCTTTTAGTTATTCAGTAATCTTTTTATTGTATATTTTGATATATTTTTATTCATCCTGATTCATTTGTTTACCTGTTTGTCTCTGTACATCTTAGCAATTTACTTTTATAGATAAAATACAATTATCTATATAAATAAAAATGTAAATGTCCGTTTGTACATAACCGCACATCTCCGAAAGTTCTTCACCGATTGCTTTCAAATTTTGACACAACATTGCATTTGACTACGGGCGTGTTTTTATATACCTATATTATATACATGTCACACCTGTGACAGGTAAAAACATGAAAAACATTGGAAAATATTGAAAGATATTGACAAACATTGAAAAACAGCACCATCTGCTGGATGTAAAACCAACATGGCAGCCTCCCAGCCCTGATTATGGTCACCAGATTTCTGCTCCTTATATTTAGACTCTCCATATTGCTTCCAAGAAACTGCGCATTTGGAAGGCAGAGACGCCCGAGGGCCAAATCGTGCCACCAGGCTCGGCAGGTAGGCAGCTGGCTCCCCGCCGGGAAGCCCTTGCAGCCGGTGCTTCTAGGGCTGGCCGGGACCCGCCCGAGCCTGGCTCTGACCTCCCCCTCCCCCGGCCGCCCCGCGAACTAGCCTCACCCGCCACTGTTGCCCATCCCCCTCGCCAGCCACTCTCAGGGCTCCCTCCAAAGTACATCTGGCAACGAGGCTGCCTGGGTCCCCCGAGCAGGAACCCTCCGTCTCTCGCCTGGCCCGAATCGCGCCTGGCCCAGCGCTACCACAGGCCCCGAGGTCAGAAAGACTAGCCGCTAACCGGTGCTATGCGAATCCGGTCGGTGAGCGGGAGATAGAGGCAACTGGAGCCTCGGGGTCGCCTTTGACCAGTGCTGCCTTTGATTCCCAAGTGGGCGGTCTGGCAGTTCACGGAGCCTACATGAAAATTTCGGCCTCTGGCAGAAAAGGGGCTCCGGGGAGGCTTTCGGGGGGCAGAAATGGCCAGGACGGAGGATGGCCAGCCCTCCTTCATTTCGCCTGGAAGAGCGGGGGATTTAATCATTCCCCTGCCCTTGGCAGGCGGGGGAGGAGAATTGCGCAGCAGGGGTCCAATGGGGTGTGCGTGGCTCCTGGTTTTGCCACTTTCTTCCTTCGGGTGGGAAGCCCCAAACCAGCCTAGAACCCCCCCCGCACTCCCTCCTCCCTCCCTCCCCTTCCCTTCCCTGCTATGCGTCTCCCCTTTGAGCCCCCAGAGAACATCTGTGTAGGGAGGACGGAGGGGGCCCTCGAGTTTCTGCTGTGGTGCAGAGAGCTGCAAAGGCCTGGCCTGAAAAGGTAAGGGCAATGGCGGGGGATGCAGAAAAGGCCGGGCCAGAGACAGAGATAAACAGAGAGAGAGGGAGAGAGAGACATAGAGAAATACAGAGAGATGGGGGAGAGAGACACACACACATACAGAGATGCAGAGAGAGAAGGGGGAGAGAGAGACACACATAGAGAGATACAGAGGGGGGAGAGAGAGACATAGAGAGATACAGAGCGGGGAGAGAGAGAGACATACAGAGATACAGAGGGGGAGAGAGAGAGACAGAGAGATACAGATGGAGAGAGAGAGAGACATAGAGAGATACAAAGAGAGAGGGGGAGACAGAGAGGGACGATTTTGTGGTTCCCATTGTTTTTTAGCAACCGGTTCTCTGCCCTAATCACCAGCTGGGTAGGCGTGGCTCGGGGGGCTGTCATGTGACTGATGAAAGTGAGTGATGTCGAGTTAGCCACGCCCACCAAATATTCGTGGAGAGTTTGGAACTTCAGCCCCGCTCTTTTAGCCCAGCGGAAGCACCAGACTGGGCCACAGCAATGCGTGGCTGGGTACAGCTAGTACTAATTAATATAATTAATACTTAAATCAGTTTTGTGTCAAAAAGATCAAGAATCTTACATTTTTACTGTAATGATCCATTAGTTTTTAGTGTAATGATCTATTTGTATGCTGCTTTCTATTGATAGAAATCATGAAGGGTTAATGTCAGTTCTGTTATCTTTGGCAATGCCATGAAGCGGAACATGTGAATGTTTACCTTTCCTAATGATATGTTTCTTGTTCAAGGATTCTTGTCTTGAAGCAAATGCAGAAGTTCCTATTCAATTATTATTATTTTTTTCTCATAGGAAGTGGGGGAGTATTCTCAGTTTCTTTATGGAAAGAATTCAAGGTCAAGTAATAGCTTGGTTATTGGCATTCAAATGTGAGAAAGAACATAGATTTCTCTTTTTAATGTCTCTAGCACTGCATTGAAATCTGCATTTCAGCTGGTACAGAATGCCGCCGCGCGGGTTATGACAGGAGGGTCCTGATACTCCCATGTTACACCTCTCCTGCACAACTTGCATTGGTTGCCGGTTGCTCTTCGGGTGAGATTCAAGGTGCTGGTGATGACCTATAAAGCCCTATATGGCTTATGCCCAGGATATTTATCGGACCATCTGCAACCAGCAACAGCTTCCCATCGCCTGGTGCGTTCTCACAGGGAGGGCCTACAACATCGGCTAGACAATGTTGGCTGGCGGCTCCCAGAGGTAGAGTTTTCTCTGTGGGTGCGCCTATCCTTTGGAATCAACTCCAAAGGGGTTGGGGTGGAGTTCCATCCATACACTGACGACACTCAGCTGTACATCTCCACCCCAGGCCACCCCAACGATGCCCTTGAAGTGATGTCCCAGTGCCTGGAGGCCGTGCGGGCCTGGATGGGGAGAAACAGGCTCCGATTCAACCCTTCCAAGACCGAGTGGCTGTGGCTTCCGGCTTCCCGATGTAGCCAGCTGGTGCCATCGCTGGCTATTGGGGGCGAATCACTGGCCCCCACGGAGAGGGCTCGCAACTTAGGCGTCCTCCTGGATGCACGGCTGTCTTTAGAAGAGCACATGACGGCCGTGGCCAGGGGGGCTTTTTATCAGGTTTGCCTGATACGCCAGTTGCGCCCCTTTCTGGATCGGGACTCCCTACGCACGGTCACTCAAGCACTCATCACTTCCCGCCTGGACTACTGCAATGCTCTCTACATGGGGCTCTCCTTGGGGTGCACCCAGAGGCTACAGTTAGTCCAGAATGTGGCTGCGCAGGGGATTATGGGAGCGATGGGGCACTCACATATGACATCTCTCCTGCGCGAGCTGCACTGGCTTCCTGTGGTCTTCCGGGTGTGCTTCAAGGTGTTGGTGACCACCTTTAAAGCGCTCCATGGCTTAGGGCCGGGGTATCTGCGAGACCACCTTCTGCTGCCAATAGCCTCCCACCGACTGGTTCGCTCGCACAGAGAGGGCCTCCTCAGGGTGCCGTCGGCCAGACAGTGCCGGCTGGCGACTCCCAGGGGGAGAGCCTTCTCTGTGACAGCACCTGTCCTCTGGAATGACCTACCCCCTGAGATACGCACGATATCAGACCTCCGGACTTTTCGTCGGGCCCTGAAAACACACTTATTCCATCTAGCCGGGCTGGCTTGATCCCATCCTCTCAGTTTTAATTGAATTCGGTTTTAATTGGGTTGTTTTTAAATCTTGGGCCGAAATTATTTAATTGTTTTTTAAACTGTTTTTAAATTTTATATGCAATGTTTTATCTCGGCTGTACACCGTCCTGAGTCCTGCAGGAGAAGGACAGTATAGAAATAAAAATAATAAATAAATAATAAACTCCCCCTGGGGCTCCGGTTGGCCCCTGACCTTCGCACTTTCCGCTGCAAACTAAAGACATGGCTGTTTAAATCGCCAAGCCTGGACTGATGGGGTTTGATTATTTTAATGAGTTTAACATACGTTTAATTTGTATTTTAATATGTTTTTATCTGGTTTGATTTTAATTGTTGTGAGCCGCCCTGAGTTCTGTGGAGATAGGGCGGCATACAAATCAAATTAAATAAATAAATAAATAAATAAAATTGCTGATGATAGTTAGTAGCATTGGTTTTATAAAACAATTTCTTTTAAAATCCTGGAACTTAACTTTTAAATGGCAAAGAATGCTTATTGATTTGAAAGACCTAGAGGAGATCATGTTAATCTATTGGTTTTATTTGTAGAGAATGTGTGTCTAGAAAGGCTGGATTAAGATGTACCCTTTGATACATGTGGAAGACATTGTATAGCTAGTTCTCTATTCTCATGAAAAGGGAAAAAAATCAAATCTTTCTAGATGTTTTGTTCTGTAAAAAAAAAAAAAAATAGAATTGCATGTTCTTTCCTTGGACAAGTGGTCAGTTGCCAAGACACTGAACTTATATTACTGCACCCGGACAGCACATTTTTAAATCACAAGTTGTAAATTTAAAGAAATGTAAAACCCACCAACAATTTGGGGGACATTGATTTTTCCCCTCCAGCAGATGGCGCCTTAATCCTGTTTTGAAACTCAAAATGAGAAATACTTTCTATGTTCAACTGTTCATAGTTTCTGTGAGGAATTCCATACTTAATCATTGGCTTTGTTGAGGTTTTTTTTTAAAAGTTTTATGAGCATATTTCAGTAGGAGTTTGCAAGTGCACTGATTTAAAGTTATGTCTTCTAGGAAAACAAAAAACAAAAAACCAGCAATGAGAAATAAGCACATTTTCTTCTGTGGGATGTGGTGACTTTATATCAGATGG